TGCCCATTAGAATGACTCACAAGGGGGATTAAACCATATATTGTGACGATTTACCTTTAGAGGTTCTTTGTAGGATGGTAGATTTTGATGGAAGGATAAGAGAAGATCTCTCAAGATCTAGGTTTGGATCAGATTGGACAGTGTCGTTGCGAATTGATGTAACAACAGTCGCGTGTAGGTTGGGCCTATAGGAGATGTACCCCACCGTTGGGGCTGGTGAAAACAACAGACATGGATTGAAGCGCAGGCATATTGAGATAGTGACCTTCTTCCAGCCACAGAGGGCTATTCAGCGAAATCGATGCCATGATAGATGGTGTCAAAAGTGGACCGGGATGAATGGGGGTTATGTTAGCGGGTCGCGATCTTTTATATGGAGCTTAGCTAATCTCGCCCCTTGCATCCAATGATCAACTACTTCTCAAACGCAAAGGCTTGAGATCGTTTGGAACTAGCGAAATGCACTGCAGAGAAGGATGGAAATAATCAACTTTTGAAATTAACCAGGATGAGACATTGCCCCGACGCCTTAACGGACCATGATGAGAGCGTCGCATCAAATATACACATGTAGTCGAAACATCATCCCGAGGGATATCAAGTCTAGAAACAGCACGACGAAACAAAAACACAGACCCCTTATGCAAATAGCTTCCTTGTGTCCAAGGCATCCTGCTTCCGCTCAGAGTTGTCGGACAGACCCAGACCAGAGCGCTTTGCCACCCGGTCGGTCTGGACATCTCGGCGCTGGGAGTAGCGACCAGCCTTGCCCATGCGGACCTCACGACGGACCTGGTTGGGACTGACGTATTCCTTGTTCTCGTAGATAACCGGTCCACCGAAGCTGCCCTCCAGAATGACAATGGGGGTCAAGACGAAACGGGGACCGATCTCGACCAGGGAAACCTCGGGCTGACCGTCCTTACCCTTGGGTGCGGCCTTGGTCTCCTCGCCTTCCTTCTTGCCAGATTCTGACTCGCGGATCTCGTAAACGCGAATCCAAATCTTGCCATCCACGCCGAAGATACCGATAATACGATCGACGAAAGGCTTCATGCCTCGGACACCACGCTTGGGGACACAGAAAACTCCCCGCAACATCTCTCGGACAAGCGCCCGGTATTCACTGCCAGCAACGCCCATATCGGGGCCTTGTTCGTCGAATGATCGGTCAAACACGACCAGGCCGCGACCACCCTTGAGGCAGTTTCCTGCGAATCCTGCGCCAAGCTCTCCCATTGTGTGCAAGTTGTTGAGGTGGAACTTAATTGTGGGTCCGTTAGGAGGACGTGACAGCCAGAGGTAGAGATCCTGGCCATTCTTCTTGGCCTCGAGAAAGAAGATGACATTGCATGAGTGCAGGTCGGCGAGGGAGTTCAGGAGGAGGTTGTAGCCGGCGGTCTTCTTTTTCGTATCGAGCTTGGTCTCTTTGTGGGTGTGAGGAAGGAGGCTGCAGATATCTGACATCAAGTGACGGTGGCTGAAAGCAATTGTCACGGATCAGTAAAACGATTCAGTGTTCTTCTCAAAGCGCGATGTCCTTACCGATATGAAGCACCTCTCGAAGTTAGAATGAGTACCCGGGTCTTAGGCATAAATCCAGAGGCAAGTTGCTTCTTTGCCTCCTCGATTTCCTCATCATCTTCTTCCTCCTCGCTATCGGTGGTGTCGTCCTCCGCAGCGAGAAGCTCCTCCATCTCAATGTCCTCATCGTCCAGCTCCTCCATTGGCTGCTGAGCCTTCTTCTTTGAGACAGTCTTGTAAACAGCGGCCATGGCGACTGCAATTTGTGTGAAATTTGGATTGAAATAGATCGTGCAAAACTAGCCCGAAATCGAAAAGTTGATGGCAGAATATTTTTTGTTCGTCACCGCCATTGGAGATCGAAGATCACGTGCTGCGTAGGAAGTTTTCCTGCCTGCCCATCTGCCGCTTGTCACCGCCTGCAGGTCTTCGACGAGATTAACGTCCCATGCCTATTCACTTATGTGGGCCTATTGCCCTCAAAAATGTATGAATATTCTGGTTTTCTTGACATCTGTAAGATACCCGATACTGCTTTGGATCTATGTGAGATTAAAGTACTTCGATGGTGCAACACTAAAGTTTCATGATTACTATTTGCTCCCGAGAATATATCGTCGTCCAGCAGTTGGGCTGAACACAAATCAAATGTTATTCCGAGTACAAATCTAAAGCTTTATACTACAGAATAGCTCCACCACTATGGAGGCTAAACGTGACCGCTCAATATAATTGAGAGTCCAATGCTCTATGTAGATATGAAAACCCTTCCTGTGTCACCTTGAGACCTGCAAGGTAGTTTGCAAATTTAAGCCTTCTTTCAAAGTCCCAATCCTTGCCGCGGTAAATTAGGCCATATAGAATCCCTGCAATGAAGGTATCTCCAGCTCCGATAGTGCTATACATAGTTTATTAGTATGGCTGTCTATAATATGATGTCCTTATGACTTACTCTGCAATCCGCATGTTTCCCTCAGTATATGCCGGGACATGAAGTATATCGCCAGTCCGTTTTTCAAATGCGGCAGCACCGGCGTCTCCCCAAGTGCAAAATAGCAACGATCTGTATGAATGAGGGTTATCAAATTGCATTTCTCAAAGACATCCACGTATGCGAAGTTGCAGCTTACGCTTGGCATGCTTTCAATGATTGAAGTTTCAAACATTCCTGGGCAGAAGTATATCCGTTGTTCTGCTTGGCCATTAGACGTGCCTTTGAAGACGCCACAAACAAATGATCTCACCTGCGCCCAGCCTTTTGAATAGAACACAACATCTGCTGTCCCAGCAAGTTCCTGCAAGCCGGGCCGCCCTGGCTTTTCCACCTCAACACTGATTCGGGCTCCAGGGAATTGGTCGCGTATATATTTAATGCATTCAGTTGTCACGTCTGGCATACGACCCTTTTTGAATTTTTAGTACCCAATGTGACTGATCGAGATCAATGAAGACCACCCAGTATATACCGAACATACCTCAAAGTGAAACCAGGGCTGACCAGATATCTTACGCAGATCCTCGACTGCAATTATGAATTCCTCAAGAATCATGTCCGGCAGCTCATTATGATTGACAATTGTTCTGCTGCCAGTGTTTTGGCTCTTGATGATATAGCTGGACGCTGGCTCGTTGAATTGTTCTCGATAAATACAGCGGTCCAACTGGACGTGATCACCAAGACCTGTTTTAATCAGCTGAGATGCTGCCGACGATCTGGAAGGGAGAACAGTGATTAGATTCAAAGATGACTCGTCGTTGAATGGTCCGCATGGTACTAATTGCGCTAGAACCTCGAGTGTGTTTGGGCAATTCCCTCCCCGACGACGATCAATAGTTGAAGCCCGAAGCTTCTCATCTTCACTGGGGTAATGAGGCACTCTGATAAGTGTTAAATTACTAAATTCCTGGTGAAGTAGGGCAGAAACTGACGTTAAAATTGTATCGAAATAGCATGCTCCTGTGGCTACAAGAGTCATAATGGGAGCTCTGATATGTCTAAGCAGCGCTTGGCCTTGGCTCAAGGTATCAACAAGCTGTCGATAGAGCCATCTAGGAAAATATGTGGGGCATCACGTGATATACACGGACAGATCACGTGCCAATGTCAAACGTGGAACGGATGGCAAAAACGATCCTCTATCAATAAGTTTAACCCTTACTTTTGCAACCACCCCACCGAAATAACCTAGTGGTAGTTAACTGTGTTCGGATATCGTGCAGAGAGAGCTCGGGTTCGACCCGAACCTTGAGCTCCCGGTGGGGATTTATTTTATTTTATTGTTTTCCCTTTTCAGCACACCACGTCACGTGATACTATATGGGTGGAGCCGTACCTCCTAATCGAGATGGAAAACAACCTCGTCTAATCAACAAGTTTAACCCTTACTTATGCAGATTCCCTCGGGTCCAACATGTCTATTATTCCCGTACCCACCACCATCTAATGAGATCTTTTTCCCTATGATTACTTGGAAAGCTAGCTGGTAGGACTAAAGAATTCCTATGGTTCTATTCGTAAATAGCAAAGAAGTGGAAAATAGGTGACAACAGATAGAAATAAGGTGACCAAAGATAAGCAAACATAATAAATCGAAAGATAGCGGAAACAATGTAAGAAACAGTATGTTATGGAGGTGCTTATATCTGGTATGATTTATTTCTATGTGAACGGGCGAGGCTCTCTAGATTAAGTATAAGTTAGAGATAGCCCGAATACACTATAGATGGCACTGTAGATCGTCCGGGTGCCCTGAAACGTTAATATTATAGTTTCATGGTTGTTTAGGTACGTTTAATAGCATGCCTATTAAGTGAAAAATGGCAGATGCTTTCTGCCATCTCTTATATCACTGCTCGTGGTTTGCTTTGACATAACAGCTATTTGCTAGGTTGCAAAGCTCCTAAAAGCGACCGTAGACACGCAAAACACTACGGATGTGATTTAGTGAGGTTTTATAGAGTCTAGTGTTTTCCTACAGACCTTTTTGTTGACTTACAACTATCAATCTATTGATGCGGATAGACTAGGGCAATCATCGACACGTGGGAGCACCTGCCTATCCATACTTTAATACGACTACCTCCATCCTGGACGGGCTTTATGCCTCTCAATGGTCAAATTTGAAAGGAAGTGCTACACAATAGAACAACTCAGAGGTCTCTTTCTCTTAATTCATCATTCAATGGCATGCTTCGTTGCGATATCCCACTAGAGGTATACAAAGAAGCAAGCAGGCTACCGTGGTGAAGAAGACAAAGCATCTCGCAGGTACATTATTGGAGCCATGAGGAGTATTAAGTGCAGATATTGCGAATTCCTTTGATACAATACAAAGCAACCACAGATGTATTCAACAAACATTTTGTATGTTCAAATAATTAGTAAATCTTCAGTCTGTTATATATTTGGCGTAATGTTCATCAAGTATTAGTTCCATTCTCATAGTATCCTCCAATCACTAGAATAATCTGCAAAGATGGGCCAGCGTCATAAGGTCTTAGAGACTGACAACCCAACCGCAAAATTTCTCTACACTATCATCAAGCAATTAGACTTGAAATCGGTGAGCTTCCGCCAACATATCGCTCTAGTATTCAAGAACAGTTCTAATCACCTCAAGGGGTATAGATCAACTGGAATCGTGTTGCCTCCGATCTTGAGATATCCAATGGTCATGCTGCTCGCATGCGATATTCCCGCTTTCGACAACAGATGGATGGAACTTCAGGGGTGACCAGGGCAAAAGAAAGTCGAAGAAAGGCAAAACAGTGGAACCCCAGCCGGAAAAGCAAGCAGTTTCCCCGATGGATCTATCTATGATGCCCAAGATGGAGCCCATGGACTCATCTTTGCACAGCACTCCGTTTTTCAAAAGCGAGCCGAGAATCCAAGGGTACCCAGGCATGCAGGAGTTTGCGAATTATCCTCCCCAGTCAATTTCCGACAACAGTATACCGTCGTACCTCTACCTGCCACAAGACTTTGCATCAAGGGGGTTCCAATATGCGTCGAGAATGCCATCTGGGCTACCATTGGTCAGCTCGGGGACATCTTCCATGAACCCATACGGATCACCAGATATTTCAACCAGCTATCCATATGCATTGACAAGAGGACAAGCAGGCTTTGACACGCAGGATTTTGGAATGCAGCTGCCCTTATCTAGCTTTGGTCCAACCATCAGTTGGGAGCCCCGGCCGTCTTCTCATGAGGTTCTTCAGATCGTGAAACTCGAAGAAGGGCAATCGAGTAAGGCGGGAGCCTTGGATCTCGACGATCAATTTAACAAACTGCCCATTCAACCCGCGGACCGTTCCATGGACGACATTATTGATCTTCCTGACCACCACACTCAATATCCCATTCAACGCCCCGCTCAAAGCTTTACCAACCCTCAAATCAACCCAACTGCTCACCACCAAGCTCAAAGCATTGTTGATCGCTACCCTGACCACGCTCAACAGCAGACCCAAAACACCACTGATCCCCACGCTCAACATCCCAGTCAGCGCCCCGCCCAAAACCAGAATAATCGTCACGTCGATCTATCCGCTCAACTCCTGGCTCATCAGATGGCTGATCACAATCCTCATCTCGTTCAAGAGCAGGCCGAGGAAATCGGTGACAATCGGGTTGACACCCCAGATCAACGCCAAACTCAACCTAAGGCTCAAAATCCGGCTCCAAGTCCTGTCAAACACTCAGTTGACCGGTCCGCTCAGACACCTGATCCGCGACCTGTTGAGATTTCCGTTCCAATAACCTCTCAACAGCCTCTTCTGGAGCTTGCTCAGCCTGTCCAGCAACCCGTTCAGCAGCATATTCAACAGACTGCTCAGACACCAGACCAGAATTCCACCCTGAAACTAGCTCAGTACCCACTTCAACAACCCGTCCAGCAGCCCGTTCAAACACCCACTCAAGAACCTGCTCGAAAACCTGCTCAAAACCCTGCTGCTCAAGAAATCGACGATGGGCAAATTGACTACCCCTTCCGGTACACAGTGCAACAGTCAGCCCAAAACGCTGTAGGCGAGCCTGTTGATAACCTCGTTGATTGCCGGAGCGATGAGTCCAACTATCAGCCATGTCAGCTAACAGAGCAAGGACCGACAGAACAGAGGGCAGTCGTCCAACTTGAGACAACCCAAGATTGAGCAAGCCTCGGAGACTTAGGAGACTCAGATGTGGTTCAAGGCGCAGCAGATTCGGTATTTCTATGATTATTAAGGGATATGGTTCACTAACAGATCATTGAGTATGATAATCCCTTGCTGCGACAAATTTACTTTTTCTTTCTTTTTCTTTCTTTTGGAAAAGCTAGATCGTTCTTCGTCGTACTCCATCTTTTATGCAATAGAATGCCATGTTCTCTAATTATCGGCTATTTCTATCCAATAAGGTTGAGCGTCTACAGGTAGCATTCACTTGAGGCTGGTAAATTATAACTGGACTAAAGGTCAGTGCTAAAGTTTGTGAAGATATGAACGCCAATGAAAAGCTTTGGAAAGTGGGAGGGGCCAAATTCAAAAAATTGAAGCAGGAACCAGGCAGTCCTGCTGAGAAACAATGCTACTACTCCCCAAGCTGTAATATATTCCCACCGTATGCACATGAGAGACCCAAACTCATATCCTGGCCTGTTGTTGGCGGGTACCAATTGACGCTAGCTTTCTTTTCTCTGCGGATGGAGGATGGGAGGAGGGTATTTTCGTTCGAATCTGAGGATCAAATGAAGGCAAGCTATGTTTTGATATTTTCCCGTTGTCCTCAATTATGGCAAGGTCATCCGGGTCTAGGTCCAATTTCGTTAAGTGTCCACGCAGCTGATGCATTATGTCTGTGGTTGTCTAGACTGTGTCTCCAAAGGGAGTTAGAGTATCCAAGCCACCCTTACCTGGCTCGAATGCCAGCTGGCATGAACCAGTTTGTAACAACAGTAAAACACAAAAAATCACCAAGAATGAGCAGGGTCACAAAGAAAGCGCATGTCGTGCGTAGGGCAAGAATGCAAACCGAAAAACCCTTAGTACTTATTATCACCCTCAGATTCTTCAGTGATATCTGGTAGAGAAGATTGACGTCGGCCTGCCACCATGGAAATCTCCGGATCAGGCCCGTATTGTTCGAAGAGGGCATGCAGGCAGTCCTGGCTGCGAGTTGTCAGTATCGTATTGGGGTACGTAGATAGAGCGATGAGGATAGTGCGTACTACTCGGCCTTGCTCATGTCGCAAAGAGCATTGGCGACGGGCTCATGGACGAGCTGATAGACGGAGCGTATCAGCATGTATACCAATTATATAGTCGTGGAGTAGGACCCGCCGCGAGGGAAAGGGCCTACGGGCTTGCACGACAAGCTTTAACAATGTGATTGCATGATGAGAAACGATTGTAACGATAGGAAACGATTGCCACGATGCGAGGCGAGACGATAGTAGGTGAAACGATTCACTTTAAGCAAAACGACTGGACGGTGTAAAACGAAAGGAAACGAGGCGAAGCGAAAGGACCCGAAGTGAAAAGCGATGCGAAACGATTGCACGAGGCAAAACGAAACAATGCCATTGCACGATGCGGCGGATGGTGTCACCGACCTTGAGCTCAGGGGAGAAATAAATGCAGTTTAGCAGGAACTGGAGGTCTGCCTTCCCCAAGGGAGACATCTTACTGGCCACTCTGAGATTCAGGGTCAGAAAGAAAGGCTTTAGGAGAGTTTAAGCTCGTGAGGCAATTAAGACGAGAGGGAAAGAAGAAGATATGAAAGTGCAAAGAGGAAGAAGCACACCTAGGGATCAGGGCAAGCAAACAAAGGAGGTCTGATCTCTGAAGCAAGTATGTCATGCCAATAAATAATGTCTCTAGGGTATCGATGCAAACAAATCCTAAGGTACAAATGGTATATGCTGAGACGTGTTGAAATATCAGCCATAAAGCTAAAGAATGTAACGAATATCAAATGGGTATCCTAGACATAAAACAGTCGCGATCCGACTTCTACAAACCTGGAGCTAAGCCAGGATGACGAGAGGTGTCATGAGACAACACGAGTATCAAAGCTCAAAAAGAGAAAAGAGAAAAGAAAGGTCCCCCACCGGGAGCTCCGCAGCGAGTGCTAAAACCCGAACTCGGGCTCAACACGGTATGGGTTGACCTAAACAGTAACTGTCGTGTTTCACCACTAGATAATCTCAGCGGGATAAGGGTTAAACTTGTTGATAGAGAGCTGCTTTCCATTTCCGGTTAGGAACGTGGATACCTGATCAACCAGGTTGGCTACCTGGTTTCTGCCTTGACTTGCTGCGTCGATCAAAGAAAATGCGGCAATGCTCACAATATGGATATCATGAAAAGATAAAAACAGAGGCTAGAACCGCGCCTATGCTTCTATTAGTTAGCATCAGATGTCTGCCATGACGGATTCGACGATCTTTCGCTGGTAGCTGGATAAAGCCCGGTCCTTTTTCTGCATCTGTGCCCGGAGCTTCGAGTAACGCTGTTTCCAGGTCGCTTCGGACACAGGATAATTGAGATCATCATCCTCATCCAGATCAGGGTCCGCCACGCTGCTGCTGTTGTCGATCGTGTGATGACCAGAAGCCATGCCTGTACTTTCAAGGCCGGCTGTACCCATAGTCTCGATACTACGGTCAATGTTTCCAAGTGTAATTTGCATCGAGAACTGGCCAGAAGTTTTGTGATCGTGGGAGATGGAGTAATTGAAACCAGCTGCATCTCTGCTTCCATCGGAGTTTGTCATGGCACGTTCAATCCTCACCACCATGGAACCTGGATTGCTACCAGGGAACCCAAAGTGGTGTCCAACGCCAAGGTGAAAGGCCATGATCGAAGGAGGCATGTCAATTTGACTTTGTGAATACAATGTAGACAGATTGATCACCATCGCAGAGGCCAGTGCTTCAGTCTCATCGTGGGTGAGAGGAACACCCCGTCCGATCAGTCTGGCATGTGTGAGTTCGGCAGAGAGCGCGCGGACTATGTCGTCCATGGCAGGACTGGATGCGGTATTCATATTGTTTTGGTCGCCCGAAGAAGGCATTCGATTAATAGTACCAGCATTCGTATTATTCGTAGTATGATATTGCTGACGATCATTAGCTGCCTCGGCCCCTGAGATAATTGCGCCATTGACACCATTGACTACCAGTCTCGGAGGAGTAGCAAGTCGGACTGGTGCCCCGGAGTGTAGTGGAACTTGCAATTGAAGTTTGCTGGGCCTTCCTTGTGTAATTGGAGTCGGTGTTTGATTATAAGGTGGGGTTTGAAAAGATTGAGGGGGATTCGAATCAAGCCCAGGAGGAGAGGTTTGAGTACCAGTGTTAGGAATCTGTGACGATTCTCGACTGGGATTGACCTGGAAGGTAGAGAAGGAGCCTGAAGTCGGGCCTTTGTTTGGAGGCCTGCCTCGGCCTTTTCCAGCAGACAGACCACTGCTGCTTGGCCAAGCGGATGAGACAGCCGGACCGTGTCGTCTTCTTGTACGGGTCTTCTCACCGGTCGACGGGGTCACAGCGGATCGAGGCTCAGCAGACATGAGAACATCCGATGGTAGATGGCTTCTTGGTATGATAGCGGATTGAGGATAGTTAGCAGGGGACGCCTCCCGCTCTGGCAGTCTCCAGCGAATATCTTGATTAGACTGATCTGGTCCTTGGGCTGTCACCCCACTTTGGAAAGAAGAGGCAGCCGTGATCCATGGATCATTGGATTCCATGTCGTCTGGAAATGCACTGAATGGAATTGCGCTCTGCGGGAACGTGACGGAGTGCGCCGGGAAGTTACCGTGCTGGAGGGTGCCCACTGTTGTATCAAGTTGAGGCCGCTTTGTCGCTTTGTCCTCGTCGAGCTCCCTATCCTCGGCTCTTTTTCTACCCCGTTTTGGCTTCCACTGGGGTACAAGTGCCCTGAGCGCGAGGTCTTCCTCTAGCGGTACACCATCGCGAGAATCACTGACAAAAGGACCAGATGGCGGAAGGTTGGTGTAATATGGATGATGTAGATTCAAGCAATAGTTGAAGAATCCGTCGACATGCATAGCACGCATCCAACGCTGGGAAATGTTAGCAGAAAGGTAATACAGGCTTCAAGGGTACACCAACTTTGAGTCGAACAGAGTACTGTTGAACCTTCTGTGTACTCTGCTTCTTTTCCATGGACGGTGGTTCCACACCTAATTGAATTGCCAACTCAATCCAAGTCTTTAATTCACCATTTTCCTTCTTGCGAATCAGTTCAAAAAGTGCAAAGACGCTAAAGCTTTTGCCGTCACTTCGTGGCGGAGTACGAAACGTTTTCCTTAGTTCCGATGTGTCGACGGTTGAGGGAACATTGGGATTGCAATACAGAATAAACATGACATAGGCATCATCGATAGTATCGTCAGTAACATCCCGCGATGGAAGAACACGGGTATCAGCATGATCGGTTGGATCCTTCATCGGTTGATGCCGTTGAGGTCCAAATACTGGTGGAGACATGGATGGCCCTGAGCGAGTAGTTGACGATTGGGGGATGGCAGAACGTATGCCCCTCGGCGAAGACTGTAAACTTCTCGGTGTTTCCCTTCGCTGTAATGGAGGGGAATTGTTGACATCTAGTTGACTGCGAGTACTCCCTAGAGAAGAGGCACTCTGGAGTGTTGATTCCAAGGTCGGGGGATATCGCGCATATTGCTGGACAACCATCGGCGGCCCTCCAAGCTCACGGGTTGAGCGATCACCCGAGTCCATCATCACAGAAAATGAGGTTTCCATGTGAAGATGTGGGACTGAAGGCCACGGAGCTCCTTCAATTGAAGTGCAAGGCTGGACAGGTAAGACAAAGAATCATCAGAATCTTGCACAGCACATCGTCATGATCGGATCAGAAATGGTATATGTATGACCAAGACACGGAGTAAGGCAACTCTGCAGAATCCAGGAGGTTTCCCCTCGAGGTGGCTGGAAGCGCCCATCCTTAAAGCTCAAGCTGAGTTCTATTTTAGGGCCATCTAGTGCTCCCTAATCAGGACTAGCGTCGTGGCCTGAGGGCGGGGTTGCTGCCCCGGATCACGTGGCTCACACGATAAAGTGAATGCCTGGTAATTGTATTGTAATTAATGGCGTAGAGCTGTGTACACTACTATCATCTGCATATAGTTTCCAAAATCATACAATTACAATTTGCCGGTTTTAAGGTAGTTTTGAACTGTATCTTCAGCTGGATTAGTTCGCAATATAGAGACTACCCTGGAAATCGAAGTTAGACTTAACGACATGTAGGCCAACTTATCTATGGCACGATACGATAATACAAATACCACACCTTCCCTTTGAGGTTCCGCTCCCTAAAGCGGTTAGCGTCAAGCTTATCGATAAGGATTATCATCGACTCCTGTGAAGAAACCGGCTTCATCCGGTTCATCACTGCTGTCGATATCAATCGACAGCAATTCTGCCATTGTTCTCTCCAGATTCGCCTTCATTAACCCTCCTAGCGCGCGTCATTGCGCGTGCAATGTGGCTCTCTTCGGCGCTGGCCATAATCTTATCCTAGCGCGGCCCTACGAATGTCATAACCGTGAGTACTTGGACAGTCCCCGCACATCCAAGCGCCCCGAGGCGAGCATACCATTTGGTATAATATCTTTGCTTTATTGTTCATCATTTTTTGACCTCTTGTTTCCCAGTCGTCCAGTGGATGCAGAGGCTGTTGACTGTGCTCTGGCAAGCTCTCCACGCATTCAAGAGACCCCACTGTATCCGCCATGGCGCCCTCGAGATCCACTCGCCCAGTTCGTTCGAATCGCACCCAGGTGCAGTCCTACCACGAGGAAAGCTCCTCGCAGGATGAAGAACTTGCGACATCACGCCGAGAGCCATTGTCTCTACGTTCGCGCACTACTCGAATGCCAAGATCCTATCGTGAAGAGTCAACGGATGGCTTCGATGAGCCCGGTGAGCCCGATGACCAGGAGCTAGATATGCTGGTCTCACCCGCCACGGAACCGCTGGCCCCCGGACCTATTTCTAACCCTCGCCCTTCTCGGCCTCAACGCACGGCTCCAAAGCCCAGACCGGCCAAGAAAAAGGGAAAACGGAATCGGGGTCCGGTGGGGAAGCCCTTGAACAAGCGCCCGAAAACAGGGACAGCTGATGCGATCTTTTTGGGATCGGGTGTTATCCCTCCTTGGCAAACCCTCCCCTACCATATTCTTTTTGATATTTTTTTGCGCGCGTCGCATCCATTGCTCGACGAAGGACGTTCGACTCGCAATGACTCCGTGAAGTGGCTAGTGAACATGGCCCTTCTATGCCGAAGCTTTCATGAACCTGCGCTCGCGGCGCTCTATTATTCCCCTCCATTGCTGCCTGCCCACAAGAGTCATGCTCTTCTCAATCTGCTATCTCAACCTCAAGAGTCGCTGTCCATGAACTACTCCAGCAAGATCAAGGAACTTCATGTGGAGGTAGAACCAGTTCTTCAATACAAAAGTGGTCCCACTCTAGGCTACTTCGACCTTTCCAGCTTGCTTGAGAAGACACCTCAACTGCATGTCCTGCGACTGTACCACAAGGACGACTTCACCATGGGAATGCCTCCTTGGCATATTGGTCCGTCGAAATGGACTTACACGGAATCCATGTTTGCCGTCCTCCACCGTGGGATTCTTCTTCGTAGTTTTGAATGGAACTCTCGCTTCTTGGGAACAGGTGAACTTCTTCATTTCATGGGCACACAGCATATGAAACCAGCTTTCAGGGGCTTGAGGGAGCTCAAACTTCTTCACATCGATGATTTTGATATGGAAGAAACACCTTCTCCCAAAACAGCAGCCCTCATTCGAGCCGTTAATTTACTTCCAGAGATTGAGAGATTGGAATTTGTCGAAAGCTCTCTGATCAACGGAGAAACACTGACCAAGCTGCCTTCTACTCTTCGCTCTCTCACCCTGAACAACTGTGATCGCATGTGGTCCGAAGATATTACAACCTTCCTTTCGTCACATGGTGTTAATCTTCGAGAGCTCAGCCTGAGCCATAACCGCCACCTCAGCTTGTCCTTTGTCCAAAATTTGGCACAATCATGCCCGAATCTTGAATTGTTCAAAATGGATCTCTCGATGCATGACGTGTCTAGCTACCACGATGTCGAGCCGCACTTCCAAGAATTATTTGCCCAGTCCGAAGTGCCCACATGGCCAGAAACACTTCAGGAAATCGAACTCACCCAGCTGCGCAAATGGAACGATGCAACTGCCGAGATATTCTTCACATCCCTAGTGAACGCAGCACCTAAGCTCCGTTCCTTGCGACGATTAGCCATAAGTGCAATTCTAAAGATTGGATGGCGTGACCGCGCTACCTTCCGCGAGAGATGGATTGGCCAGCTTGAGAAAACCTTCCTTCGTCGCAGCCCACCACCAGACCCTAATCTCCGCTCTCTGCGGAAGCGCCCGCTCCAGCCAAGTCTCGCAAGTATGAATGGAACTATCGAGAGCGAGGAAACATCCGATTCACGTCCGGGTACAGCGGAAAGTGGACCATCGTCCAAACGCCAGAGTGTTCGCCTGGCGCAGAAGACCACAGAAGTTGAAGACGATAGCGACGACTCGATGCCGGAGTCGCAGGGGATGTGCGACATTGTCAGCATTCGCATTGATAACCAACGTCCCACCGAAATGCAGTACAATGAGAACGACTTCCTCGACGATGAACTGAGTGGCGACGAGGATTGGGCCGGTGATGACTTTGAGCCCGCCGCTGGGCATGCGTGGTGATTATTGATACCTTTCATATCTTATGGGTGTTCCATGAAGTATGACGAGTGATTTCTCAGGTTTTTTTTATCGGCGCCGGTGCAGCTTTTTAACTGAAAAAGGATTGGGGCGGGATAAACAGGAGCAATGGGGGCGCATTTTTTTTCTTCAAAATAGCTACTTGCGAGTAATGTGATATTTACGCCAAATCCAAGCAGTTTTAGAAATGCAAATAGGCTAACGTGCTGTTGTGCTGAACATTGCCGTGCTGCCGTCCAAATGTTTTATACTCAAGACGTTACCTGGTCTGTGCACGGCGATCAGATGGCCAAGCCCCACAGGATCGTCTTATCTGCAAGTTCTCTCTCAACCTCACACCTGTTTACCCTCTGTTGGCGTCTCCATTTTATCCTTCCTATTCGTCTTTTGAATGTCTTGAATTTATTTATCGCGATCTTGACCCTGTTCTGACTGGGTTCGGCCATGGCGCCCGAGGCCCCCGCCGACACAGCAGGCCCGTCCTCCCCACCGCCTCGACTACCAGAAGGATGGTAAGTCGACTCGAGAGCGATCCTTGATCCTTGATCCCATAACTCCCAACCTGACCATTCGACAGGCTCGCCCAGTGGGAGGGCGTCCAACGAAAATGGTATTTCGTCCAGCGGACAACGGGCAAGTCGCAATGGGAAATCCCAACCGAACCCGTTCTCCTCACGCCATCAACAACACCAACTCCCCTCGGGCCGGGACCCTCGCAAGCGCCAAACTCGAATCAAATGGGCAATAGTTCGCGGGCGGTAGAGACTGGGGATACAAAGGCGGACAGGAATCGTTCTGCGGCGGACATTGCGAGAGTTTCCGTAGGGAATCGCGCTCATTATATCTGCATAAACGTTGCAAGAATGGCACTGATGGTGGAATAGAGCTCCGGTAATTCACCTCTGCATGGGGGGCTGGAGAACCCTCTGCATGGGTCTGCAGGAGTCCTAGGTCCGTATTCGAACCAGACCGGTCAGCGCTTGCCCGGGGCGTATGCGCAACATCCTCCCGGGAACGATGGTGGATATGGTTCGGTATGGCTCGAGTATTACTGCTACAGCTGGCACAAGTGCTAACATCTTTGCAGGGACCGTTGCAGCACGGCCATGCTACACAGATGAACGGTGCTCAACCTGTTTTCTATTCAATGCCTGGGCATCCTGGCTATCAAAACGCCCCGCAACACTTGAACCAAGGTATGCCCGGGGCCGCCTGGGGAAATGCTGCTGCTGCATTTCAGGGCCACTCAGGCTTTGACCAAGGGTACCATTCAGAACCGTTTCAAGGGTTTTCTACTGGTCCACTACCTCCTTCGTGGAACGAGAGTCATACTCCTCAAGGACAGATGACGGGACAGATGACAGGACAGATGGCTGGGATAGTGATCTCTCAACCGCAATGGCAATCCGAGTCGCAATCGAACCAGTCAAATGGTCTCGGTGATCACGTCCCAATTAATGCCCACTCGTCAACCCTTTCCCAGCCATTCTTTGGGCCATATTCCTCTCATAATGGTACTGGGCAGTCCCCGAGGGAGTTTCCGTCTCGGTCCTCGGATCTGTCCCTCCCTCGGGAAGGGCAACCGGCCCAGGCATCCATGGACGGCTTTTCTGGACATTCGCCGCAGTCCATGGCCGATCAAGCTACATCAGGTCACAAATATGGCGTCTCTCGGTCTCATCCACAACACCCTTCTACCGACCCTGCGTTGCAGGGATTCTCACCCTTGCAGCACGCTCAAGCTCAATACCAGCAGCAGTATATGATACGAAACCAGGCAGGGCCTGGTATAAATCACCAGAGCCAGCAGAGCCAACAGGGTAATATTCCTCAATATCAAAACCCTCTGGGCCACATTGGTTCCAACAATTACATACCACAACAACAATTTGGGCACCCTGGTGGACCAACAGGCTTCTCTGAAACTGCGTACCAAACGCCCTACAGCCAGTCGGGCCACGCACCAGGAACCACCCGGCAGGCACCTTTCGAGTCTCAGTTTGTGAGCGGGCCTTGGACGTCGACACCGCCTAACTCTGGTCCGCCGTAGATGTCTTGACGCTTTTGGCTATTACTGCTATTAATTGACACAAGCACACTTCATTGGCTAGTTTGAGCAGATTCTGTGGATATCCCTTTCTGCGGCCTTTTTCTTCCTATAGATTCCGGGTTTGAGGTTGTACTTTCTTCGCTCAGCAATCAATCTCTCATTGACATGTATTGTCCGGATGTTAAGGACGTCCTTGCTATCACCTCATGAGAGTAATCCCTTAGTAGGCGGCATAGGTGATAGATCAAACTACCAAGATGAAAAAGAGGATAGAACAACTTGTAAAGGTTAATCATTTGCAACTGTGAGGAACTTCCAGATCTGTAATGTCATATAAGTCATCTAGTGACCATGGGAAAGCCTTACTGGTAGAGAAAGAGTGTTAGATAGAACTGTGTCGTAAATCTGCGCTGATCTAACCTCGCCGGAGTCACTTGCTGGCAACAGGTTCTCGCGTCACCTTATTCTTGAATATATTTGTGATTTTCAATTTCTCTTTCCTCGACTATCCTCCACACTCATCTTCGAAGCTCGACTGCATCAAGCTTCCACGTACCATCTCACCTTTTTCTCCAAGTACTACTCTAACACATTTCAACATGCCTCAAGGATCCTGGGACGACGAACGGCACCGAAAGGTGAGTTGACAAGTCCGAATCTGCAAGTGAGGCCGCCGTGGTGAGGGTACACCTGCACGCGCACTCTGTTGATCATGCATCACCTTGTCGCTGATATTTGCTGACGCGTGACTCTCTTTGACCTAGCTTCTACTTGCCATTCTTGCGGACCAGCCCAGGCTTGACTTCGAGAGTATCTCGAAGAACATGGGTGATGGTGAGTATTTGAGAACCCGATGCCATTTCCACGCACCCACACCTCGTTCAGCCCTAACATGCCGCTTCTTAACTTCTTGCTTGTTTAATTCTATTGCCTCCATACTGATCAACCACTAAATTAACAGGAACCAAGGCTGCTTCTATCCGCGAGCATATCCGCCAACTGAAAATTCGCGTGGAGTCTGCCAAAAATACCCCTGGCTCCTCCCCCGCGAAGAAGGAGAAGCCCACCAAGCCCAAGGTGACACGCGCCAAAGCCGACAAGGCCCAATCCGGGGCTAAGCGCCGACGCACTTCCTCAGACATTGCTGCCCTTGGCTGGGGCTACTTGAGCGACGATGTGGACGTCGAATACTCTGAGGCGGGGACTCCAAGCAAGGAGTCGAAGATCAAGAATGAGCCTGTGGACGACACCCAGCTCAACGACCAGCCTGAGTTTGAGTAGCTTACTCTCCGTTCATTGCGGTCTCAGGATGCACCTTGCTACCAGTTCTTAGTCATTGTGGCCGCTGTTCCCCCTTTGTTCCGTGATTTAATGGCCACATTGTGTGCTCTGAATCTGGATTTGCGACGATATGGGAGGTGGTATTCGCTTTCGAGGTTCCAGTTACAATTAGCATTTACCTAGCACACGGAATTATCAGAAACCACAACCAATTCAACAATTGATTAATTTGAAGTTCACAATGATGCTTTACCTCATGTCTCCTTTTGATTGTGCTGGCCTCATTAACTTGGTCTGCCCGGGCACTCTGTCACTCCTTTCTACCGCACCTTCCCCAGACGGTAAGGTAAGTGGGGTGGTGTTGTATACCAGGAAACGCAGACAATAGGCATATATTGGCGATTCAGGATAATTGGTGACGAAGGCACCTGGCAAAGAAGTCTTATGACTGAAATCAAAAATAAGAGACAAAAAAGGTGTCATAAATGTGTACGTAATGCCATGAAATATTGGATAGTTTCTATACGGAAGCCCCGAACCGATTGTACCTCTCCATGCATTGCTTTCTTTTTCACCTTTTCTTCGAGTGCCTCGGGTTAATCGTCTAGATCACATAAGGGGCGGGGTGTGAAATGATTTATGACCCCTGTTGTAGTCACAGATTGAGTAAGGAGCACGCTATGGTCATTGTCCATGTTCAGGGATTGAAATGCCGAGTAATAATAATGAATTGCCCAAGGTTGTCCCAAATTCTCCTGGCCTGGCTTGAGAATGGTCTTCGGAGGATGTAAAGAAGCAAGGAAGCGAATATCCGACATTTAAATTCAAGCCTGGAGTGTTGAAAGTGGTAGCATGTTGGCATGTCTGCCCCCAATTGCGGCGTATACAGCCTGGGGCCTCTTCTGAAAGGGTGAATTGTCCTAGTAAACGGTTTCCAAATGAATAGAATACAGAAAGAGAAAAAGGACCAACCAAAGGCCAGAATGATAGAAGCGAGAACTGTAAAGGGAGAGGGAGTCGAGTTCTTTTCACGCAGGATAGACACGTGGAGGCAGCTCTCCGTCTGCCTTCACTTCGGTGCTGTCCGGACGCCTATATCAGTAACACCAACCTCTTCTCGTCCACCCTCGTCCTTTCTTCCGTCACAACTTCCCTTCCTCAACTACTTCGTCCTTCTACACCATCTGCTACCCACGCATTATGTAAACACTCCCTTCCCTCCATGATGATAGCTTCATACTAACTGGATCTCATCTAGTCTTCATCATGCCCATCACCTGGGACGAAAAATCCGACGCTAAGGTATGCCACCACTGCTCTCCGTTCCCTCTAGTCCATGTTCCCTTTTCCCCATGCCTCTCTGCCCCGTGTTGCCTGCCCTATGGCCCCTGTTCCAGGAAAGAAACCCCTGGTCCTTGCTTTGCAAGGGTTTGGATTGGGACTCACCAGTCCGGCTTCAGGCTCATTATCCAAATGCTCACAATCATAATAGCTTCTTGCTGGCGTCCTCTCGCAGACTTCTACCGGGCTCGACTTCAATGCTCTTGCGAAGTACATGGGCGATGGTAAGTTGTTTCATTCAATCAGGTCATAACTCAGGGTATATGGCGTCCTTTCTCCATCAAATTTCCTTCCCCCTTACTTTTTCGTTACTTTATCCAAACACTTCTGCTGGTCTCTCTTCTCCTAAAGCCACCACCCCTCAATCTTGTTCACTCTTTTGGAGTTCTCAGCCTTTCTGAATCAAATCACTATATGCTACCCATATTATGGACTACAGCCCTAGAATGTCTCATTACCAGGGCTGTAACACTACGTTGCCGTCAGAAATCTGAAATCGAATTTGTGTTATCAAATTATGCGGACAAATTCGTCATGAGAGACATCCTCAGTCCTCCTTGAAGAGACGGCTGCAACACCACCCTGAACTTCCTTTTGCCTGTGTGGACCCAAACAAGCCTTTTCTGACCATTGAACTAGGCTGCACCGTCAGTGCCCTGCGCCATCGCATTGTTCGCATCAAGAAGAAGGTCGCCGATGATGAGAACCTGATGAACGCAAGTCAATCTAGCCCTGGTACCCCCAATACTTCCGCTGTCAAGCGCAAGCGTGGCTGTGCTCCCAAGGCTACTCCCACCAAGTTGAAGCAGGAGGCCAGTTCTGACGACGATGAAAAGGAGGATGTCACCACCAAGGGCGAAGAAATTGAGGCTGAGGGCAAGAGGGTCAAAGTTGAGCATGTTGAGTCCGATGAGTATGAAATCTTTGACTGCTTTTCAAATACCGATCCATAAAACTGATCCTTGTGAGTGCAGGCTTCTCGAGCCCAAGTTTGACAGCCCCGAAGACGATGACAAGCTCTTCCAAATGTGAACGGTTCTTTTAGGAGATCTGTACAGCAAGCCATGCTGAATGCATGGTGATGGTATTTCAAACTATTGACAGGAAAGTTGCCTACAATTGAGACATGGAACTGAGAGGGGAAGGTACAAATCAAGGTGCAATTTGGGGGGGGGGGGGGGGGCGGGGGTATCATCTGGTAGTTGATCTAGCAGACAGCACTGGGCTGGCCAACTTGGTCTATCTTTGTCGGTCAGAATGCAAGATGGTTTCCCTTTCTGCTTTAAGGTTCCGTGGAGGTTGAAGCATTTGGCTGGCAGAATATTTTGTCCATTCAAACGTACGCTCCTCGTGACAAATGGAAGTCCACTCCACTTTTCTCACCAGCGGAGGAATGGCGTAGTAATCGTACGGCAGCCTCGATAGTAAGAACTATGAGCAATTATCAGGGCCTGTGTACAGTTTCCAAGCCGAAGTGTAATACCAAGATTCGCTCATATTTCAAATCGGCTTTTGAACCGGGCTCGAGTATGTTTGAGGCTCGTCTTGTTGAGGACATATAGTGCCCTCGGAATCGAGGTCACCATTGGCGACATGCGGGCGAACCTCAACATCTCAAGGGACTATACAACTGGTCCAAGTTCTACCCTACCTTAAGATGGTCACGTGAAAGGAAGGTCTATCAAAAAGAGGATGTCCGTTTAGTAACGCCCTTGAATTCAGCTATCTAGCTAGCTAGCTCCCTGGCTGTGAACAGTGTCGTTCACGCACTGTTTTTTGGTTATTTTCAAATTTCCTTCTTGCGCAAACACAGGGTCAGCTCCATTCCTTGCTAACAATATTGTATCCAGGTCCCCTACATGCATGGCCCACAGAAACAAATGCAAGGGAAAACAAAAGAGAGCTCGTAGCCATATCACACCATCAAATCCTGGCCTTCCGGTCCGGTTGATAGACTTGTCGCTTGAAGTAGAGCAGCGACTGGCCGACGATGTCGAAGAATGATGGCGCTTAGCCCTCGTGGCAGGAGTCGACACCATCCTCCTGTCCGGAAGTCGGCTCATCCTTGATCCAGGCGGCAAAATGTCCCTCGGTTTCGACACCCTCGTCCTCGCTTTCCTTAGTTGCGCTATCCTCAGCCTTGATAGCGCGCTTGCGCTTGCGAGGGTGAATCGGAGTCGTCTCGGCACTGGTTGTAGCTGCCTTGTGGATACTGGCTGGCTTTCGAGGAGTGGCTGCCTTTCGAGTCGCAATAGGGCTTTGAGAACCCGGAAGGCCCGTGTTGGCCGCCTTGGCCTTTCCGCGGATCTTGAAAATACGCTCTCTGATCGCACGTGCCGTTGGTTTGGATTCGAGGGCGTCCGAGGCTAAGACGAGGTTAATAATGTTCGAGGCACTGTTAGCTTAATTTGAGGCCACTCACACCAGGCCTCGGCGACCTTGTTAAAGTCGACCGACAGACCGTGGACCTCCAGGATCTTCGCGAGGAGCTAGCGTAAAACATACGTGATTAGTCTTGTTTTGCGAAGGATATATCGGGATCATGAGGGTGACTTACGATCTGGTCCGCTGTGGCGTCCCACTTGATATTGCGGCCCATCTTGACTGGTGAAGATGAGTTTTGGGTTGACGTAGTGTTTGAAGAAAGGGGATGTGGTAAAGTCGGGGGGAGTTGAAAGCGTGAATAAAAGAGGGAAGCGGGGGAAGAAAGAAGAAATAAAAATGGGGACACGTCTAAAGTGAACAGTATAGTCCCATTCTACAGGCGTGAACTGCCTCGGTCGTGGACTTAGGGTTGCACATTGTCAGGTTATACTGGTGCTAGGCCTGATTAGGAAAGGCGTACTTCTTTATCCCAATGACATGAGTGCATACCACCAGCTAACAAGTACAAGTATCTTTAGGTGGCAAGGTTCACATATATTCGTTGCATTCCTCTGTAAGGCTACATGAAAGCCAGCGAAGAATCACAGTCCAACGGGCGTTTTGAATACTCGAGCTTCTTATCTCCCTAGATCAGTCTTCCTTGAACCGGTCTACTACCAAGAGAAAGTAAAAAAAATCAATACGTAGACAGAGGTTGTTTTTGATCATCCACCCAGTGTAATATATCCAAATTGAATCAGTAGTGCGATATCGAGTTATTGAGAAAAAGAGAAGGTTAGATCAAGTCGCAACGAACCAAGTCGCGGAATTTAGGCAAATGAGACTCAAAGTCTCCGTCAGCTTCCAAACTTTCCATTGTCTTACTTCCTCGATCGATTCACCGATACTCGTATCTTGCCAATAATCCGTTACAAGAACCTCCCCCACCGCTCAGCCATCTTTCTCTCTTCGCCCAACCCGAGGATTCTACAACATCTCATCCTCTCATCGCCACCATGATCGACAACGATCGCCTGATGGGGTCTATCCTCGCTGCTCAGCCTGAAATCCAGGTAAATCTGCGCCCCTAGTCCAAGTAACAGCATATTCACTGGTAATAAGCACGTGCTGACAACCGCAAAAAAGCTGGACTTTGACCTGATCGCCGAGCTCTACGGACCAGGTGTCACCGCGCGCACCATCCAAAGCAAGATGAACAAGCCCCGCCGCATCGGCGAGACCTTACTCGCCATCCACAACAGCAAGATCGAGACTGGTGAGACCCCAGCCCGTAACAAGAGTGCCTGGATCCGCGAGAACGCTCAGAATGAGGCTCGGGTCGTTGATTCTCTGGCCAAACTGGGAAATGTTAAGAACTACCTCGGCCGCGAGAAGAACCTCATGGAGTCCCTTCCAGCTGATTTGCCCGTCTTCCGCAGCAAGAAGAGAAAGACCGAGCGCGCAGCTCGCATCTCTGAGTTTCTTGCCAACACCGACAACCCAGAACTTCAGCAAATTGATGTCGTCGACCTCTCTTCCGATTCCGAGGATCTGGCGAAGAACAAGCATACCATGAAGGCTGACCACATGTTGAATGATCGCGTTGTTAGGCCCCCCTGGACCGCGCCTGACTGGTCAGCACAGTTTGGCTGGCAAGGAAAGCGTGACCATGATGCTCATTCTAGCCAAGCTGTTCCTTCAAAAAACTGGGCTACACCCTCTCAGCAGGATACCCAGGATGCATACTCCGTCGCCTGGAATGCACCGCCCAGCCGAGAGGTAAAGGATAATTGGAATGGACAGCGCAGCTGGCATGGAGGGTCCAACCAGGACATCCACTCTGGTTCTGGCACACTGCCTGACTGGGGCACTGAGAACTACCAGAATGCGGGCAACAAACGCCATGCCCGGCGTCTTTCCCGCTGGAACAATCCTGGAGTTCCTCAGGTGCAGCAACCAACTGGCCATAACTACGGCTGGACCGACACTTCCACTATCAATCACAGCCGCAATCCCATCAGCTTCATGGGAAACAGCTTCCCTACTGTCTGGCACCGGCCTGGTCGGCAGTTCGCTCGCTCTGTCAGCCAGCAGAACGAAGAGAATGAACGCAACGATTGGGGAAATTGATAAATCCACATAACCTATGGCCTTTCGCAAATTCCCAATGCGCATTACGATCTGCATAGAGAGTCTTTTTGATATCTTCATTCTTTTCTTTTTTCCCTTCCATGTCTGCCCGCGCGTCCGACTTGACCATGGTGAGATGACTAGTTGATGGAGGGGTGACAACAGACCGGTCGGCATGATGCGCCGGGGTGATTTCCATTCGTTTTTATCTGCAACGCTTGAAGCTCATATGGCATTCTACGTTACTGGCCTTCCGTCTCCGTGGGGCTTTCCTTTATTTGCATTGACAGCAATGGAGGAAATTCATACAGCTGGAACAGGACTCAGTGAATACCAGTGCATAATTTGATTCAAATCAGAAAGCTCTTGACAAATTTCAGATTCTACCTCACTTCTGTAATACGTTTTAGTAATGTACTGGTTTATCTCGGTATTTGGAGTGTCATGTTCCTTTGAACGATTCCTGTGCAAATTCACCATACGTTTCTCTGGAAAAGAAGGTATGTAGAACTGCGATGCAAGGGTAAGTGTCTAGGGCTGAACGTGCCAATAGTATTCAATAAAGGATGTCAAAAAAGGTAACATGAACAAATAAGACATTATGCATTGACAAAATTGACAAGATAGAAAAGGCCATCGCTTGGAGGGGGTATCGAAACAAAAGGGGAAAAAGGAAGATGGGGCATGCTATCCGGGACCAGAGATAATTCTTCTTTTGACAAGACATTTCCCAGGGTCTTGCCGGAAGCTCATGGCTACCATTGATTTCAGGATGCAGTGCCCCCGAATGCATTATCAGAAATACGCTTATTTAGCAACACGGAAGCTTCTCAAAATCCGAACCGGCGTTTGCGGCAAGCCATCTTGGTCCTCCGACGGGGGTAAATCGAGAGTAGCAGGCTGTCCACTCTTTGATTTGCACGATATTCCTGTGCCGCTTGTGTGAGGTGCCACGTAAATACTCTCAGAGGAATCATGGGCACTGTTGGATTTGAGTGGACTGCGGCGCTTCGAAATCACAACCTGGGGATCACTATGACAGGACCATTCAAGCCTTGGTATGTCAGGTATTTCCCGCTTTCTCGATTCGGTTCGTGGAGTCCGAGCAGAAGCTAATTGGTCCTGTAGCCGTTTAGAAACCAGTTCTGTCCTTCCGCTCGAGCCGGGTGATTGGTTGCGGTATACAGGATGTCTGTCGAACTGGGGAGATCGTGATCGAGCCCGGATTTTGGTGATTGCTGACGACCTGGATTGCACGGGACAAGGGCTCTGAGAACCAGGTCTGGGCTCTGCATCATCACTTCCGTCTGGAAGGGATGTCGAGTAGTTCCTTTTGAGCCAGTCACGAGCAACTCCAGTTCTTTTCTCAGGTGCGGATGCGTTTTGTGGTTTGAGCTTGAAGCTCTGAAACCGAGCCAGTCTCTGGTTGACCGTCGGCCTCTGTGACAAGTGCGAATCATCAAGATCCATATGCTCTTCACGAGCAGAGCCAGGTTCCAACCACTCCTCTCCTCCACCACCATCATCGGTCAACCCTCTACCAGACTGCACGGCAACTTCTGGCGACCCAGGATCCGGCAGCGGCGACCTCACCTGTTCGTGACCCCAGTCCACCAGGACCCCATGAATACCAAGCAACGCAACAATCCGCCGTTTAACAGACAACCATGAATACGTACGCCCAGTATGCTTCACAAACTTCAACGCAAGATCACACCAGAACTTCTTGCCAGGAAGTTTGTCGCCAGGGCGGTCGGGAACATGTCGCAAATAGAGGCTCCACAGGACGGCTTCTTGCGCTGGAGTCAACGGCTTGCCACGCATTGATGGCGGGGCATCGTCGACCTTTATATCGGAGAGCACAGCGCCTCGCACCGTTGCAAGGCCCGATGGCGGCATCTGTGAGGGTACCATTTGCACTTAGATCCGACCGAAGTTGGTCCCGTTTTGTGTGGAATTACATATAGATTATGAGGGGCTGTGAAAATGACGCCGAAAATGACCACTTTTGACGCCAGAAACGGCTTCCTTTCCACCCGTAACTTTGGCTGTCCAGCCGCCCCTTGACCGCCCACTGCCCCGTAACACCGCACTATTCTGCACCCACTGTTAGTCATCCTCCGGTCATGATGTTGACGCTCGATTTGTATAGTTGTTCCCCTCGTTTCCACTGGCGACCAAAACGACGCCGAAAATGGCTCCCCTTCAGCCAAATATAAGTCCCCTCCCTTTTCACCTAGTCTAGTTGAGCGCCTATAAGATGCTTCGTCTTCCCTCCCTTCTAGTGTCTTTGCACCTCCCTATCTCTCTCATCCTCGTTGCCCATGCCTCTAGACGACCTCGACGTTGTCGTTTCCTAGAATACAATTTTTTTGCCCTAGTCTTTGTATCTGGCCACCTTTATGGCACCTATGCCTATTCATCTAGCTTAAACTGATAAGCACTAATACTAGACCGATCCTATTCTTTACGAGGAAATTCGAGCTAGACTAGAACATTTTCGTAGTATTAGATCGCTCCCTCTAAAGTTTAAGCTAGAGGCCTTAGAAGGTATCGCCGTCGTTAAACGTTATTGGTGAAAGTAAGTGCTTAATTAGTTAGGAAAAGCCTTATAACTAAGAATAATATAAGAATAGATATTATATTCAATCGAACGAGGATTATATAGTCTATCTTCTTTTAGAGGATTAGGCGATCTATATAAACTTTTTTGACTAGATGTTTAAACAATCACGAGAGAGACTGCTTTAGTCGTATAATAAATACTAGCACCGCCTTTATTAATACTTCGAGCTATTCGCCCGCCGTCGCGTTAGTGAGGATACCTATAAATAGATCGACGAGTAGGAATTGTCCTTTATATTTATAACTAGAGTATGCTAATCCAGACTGGACTAAAGCTTCAGACAGCGGCTTTCATGCTCTCAGCCATTTCCTGAGTTCCGAGAGTCTCTGTTCCATGGGATCTATACATAGATGGCGGACACTCAATCATTCTGATTATTAATGCATGGTACCACATGGTTGGGTTTGTCGCTGTCGACGATGCATTCTTCGCTCTGGGGCAAGGAGTTTTGTTGTGGTTGTCTTTGCGACAGATTCGACGTGCGGAGGAAGGGGAAAGACAGCCGCTTTTGGGTGATACTTTATGTTTATATACCACATCATGAATTTGACATTTTATCTGAATAAATATGATATATTCTACCCGTACGTGCCTGTGAAATTGAAAATTACTGAGAAAATGGGTTCTGCCCGGCACCCCACCTACTAGTTCAACCTACTAGTTCAACGGGTCACTCTCTCTCTCTCTCTTTCTCTTCTGCCATCCTTTCTTTTCTTTCCTTGTTTATTCTTACCTTCTCTATTTTCCCCCATACTTTCCATTAAAGTTGCCATGGATCCTGAGCTTAAATCAATTATTAGATTCTTTGAACATGATAGGCCGTGAGATTCCCCCTACCTGCCCATCGTTCCAAACCAACAAATATCCTAGTCCAAACACGCCCAGACTTTCCATGGAGGTTGAGCCGACACTCCCAGTTATGTCCTTAGCTAGCCCGACAGGTGGCTTCATTGTCACTATTCGTCGCGCAGAGGATGATTGTGACAAGCCCTGTATCTTCCGCTGGAGCGACCTGTGTGATGGATGGGGTCCCTCTGGCTTCGTAATTTTTCAACACACGCCAGATGGTCTAAAAAGGGTCGAAGGAATGCCCAAGCGGCCACCTCCTCGGACTCTCAAGATCACAGGATATGAAGTTGAGACAGAAGAACTTCTTCCTGGACAAACTCTCAGAAGAAATATAGGCGCCCCGGATCCCTTTTTGTACCACATGGTGGCTGGTGAGAAATATGAGCTAGTCTGTCTCGGGGCTGAATATGCCTTGTGGGCTTGGGGCACCTTGCGCGAGCATTGGGAGCAAGAAATTGGGGTTAACTCCGGGCTACCCCTTGTTGTCATCCCGGGGGGAGCCTCCTGTTCTTTTCTCTGCGTTGAGGTGGAAGAACCTTTGGAGCCTGAGCCGTACGACGACCATCTGGTAGAGAAATCGGAACGAATGTGAGAAATTCACCAACCTGATATCCGTCTTTATCCTGACTGATACCCTTTTTACAGCAATGGAGCCCCTTGTATGAGTGTGTTTCTGGAAGGTCCATCAGAAATGTCTAAAACGGAAATGCTTTTTTATATTACAATTAAGATCACCTATAATGGTCCCACGAATGAGGACCACGAGGCTATCAATGTTGACACAAAGCCGATCATCATACACGATTACCCTTTTACTTATGATCAATTTCTTCTGCAACGCCGCTGCCTCGATTACGATCCGTCGAAGAATTCAAACGGGGATTCTACACAGTGGAAGACTTATCTTGACGACGAAGACAATCCGGGTTGGAGGATTGTAGATGAACCCGACGTTGAGGTCAACGTCACAGATCCCGAGTTTTTCCGCAGCCTCAAACCAGGGGAATCTTTTGTCAGAAAAAATCACCTTGGATTTTTCGACTTGCATCCCGATACAGTGGTGGGCGACACATATCGATACCAGTACTGTGGCGGCCGCGTTGACTGGTGGATTTGGGGTGATTGCGAAGAGCATGCGAAGACGGTAGTGAAATTACCATGTTGGCTGCATGGTCGTGTCGCCGACCCCCTGATAATGATGGAAGGCCGGTCATAATGGTCCCGTCATCTAATTTTGTCGAGTTTACTGTTGTTGAATGATACGAATAGGTTCTCTTTGGTTCAAGTTTTGACCTCAATTTTAGGTGTTGGAATATAGATGCATTCAAAATATACTTTATTTTATTTATAGAATATTCAAGTACAGGGATTCGGCATCCACCATTTTCACAGGCCCTTATATTCTACATGTAATGGGCGTCTCGCCGTGTAATGCAACCTGAGCACGAAAGTTTGATGTGTACGCTAATTAGTGTCAAACGTGCATTTTGGCACGCGCTACCTTTTATTGTACGTTGACACATGCAATACCAAACTTGGCATCTCGATGAGAATGGTCTGAGCTATGATAAAATACAAGGGCTTAGGCCTCCGCAAATGAGCTATACAAAGAGCTCAGAACTACTTACTCTTTTTACGTGTGTTGGGTGTGCTAACAAGTCTCCAGTATTTATAAGTCTTATGGGCATGGATCAGGGCACGGTGCAGCAATAGGGCTGACGTGTATGAAGATTTTACCACGTGTTTAAAAGCCTAAATTAACCACACATCTTGATCACCGAGACACCGCGATTCTCATGCAATTTACATTAGGTCGAAATACAATACTCGCTATGAAAATATCCCGCATGGCCAAGAAGAACGCCAGCAATGACCAACGACACCATTGAAATGAGTCCAGCTCCATCTCAACTAATGACATAGCTGAATCCAGTGCGCAACAATATCCTCCATGTCATGCGCAACCCCCCACTGCGAAGACAAGCAACGAAAAAGCTTCTGCATAGAATTCAGCTCATAAAGCAGGTTCCTTCTAGCTCCAGTCGCAAGCACCTCAGCACCATGGTCACTCTCAACGAACCGCCTCGTCTCCGAACCAGACCGGGGCCGCATATCCTCCGGACCCAAGTTAAGGTCGGCATGAGATAGCAAGGCTTCCTGCCACACGATATTGCGAGGTAGGTTCACGGTGGCAACGCTGGCGAGCGACAGCACCACGTAGATTGTGGCGGCTGCGAACAATGAGCTGGGCATGTGTACCACGTGGGCACGGCCTCGTGGTAGTTGCTCGACAATATCTTGTATGGCGACGGCGTGGAGCACGGCTCGGCGCGCATCTTCCGAATTAGCCCATTGAGCTAGATCGAAGCCCGGGTTGACGGTTCGGCAGTCACCTGAAACGTGTTGCGGGATATTGTACTGGGAGCAGACATGCCGGGATAGCACGGTCGAGTTGATCATCGTGTCTAGGCAAACAGTGTGCCAGCGCAAAAGCAGTTCGAGTCTCTCGGCGGCTGTGAAGTGGATGCTCATGGAGATTGTTTCGTGGACTTGGGCGAGGGCGCGCCGGACATCGGATTGGCCGGGTACACCAAGGGCGAGTTCATTATCATCACTGTCTGATATCAGAGACTGAAGTCCTTCGAGAACCACCCGCAACGCAAAGGCAGAAAAGTGGTAGTCAAGGGGGCGGAAGCTGCCGACTGGTGGGAACAACGAGCGGAATATCACTCTAAACGAGGTCTGGTCGGGCGTTTGGGTGTGCAGGTGAGCCAGCCATTCATCAGCAGTGGCGGCATCAAAGGCCTCTTCGCTGCTGGGGAGACTTAGCGAATTGGCCACATGCCTAGCGGAAGCTCCATCACCCGACATTTGAGCGACGAGACCATCTAAGACATAGTAGGCTAGCAGAGCGCGTTGTTGAATCTCGCGAGCAGACCAAATCCGCCACTGGTGCTCTTTCTCTGCCATAGGAGCATCCACAGGTGGCAGATTGTCCATGGAGTAAGACGGGCTGTCGTACATGCCGCAGTGTCTTGCCCAGAAGAATCCCAGTGGGCGGAAGACTTGGCTAGTGGTTCGGATTGCCCTGTTCTTGGACAATGCTCCATAGACCTGACCCAGTAGAGCCGTGATCATTAGCTGGACACCCTTGCAGGCGTCATAGGGACCACTATGTGTGATCAGCGACTGCCAAGATGTTGCAACGGCGGTATGTGCCAAACGCCACAATGCTTCGCCTTTGGCAACTGAGTCCTTGGGGCCGAGGTATAAAGATCCAATGGCGATAGCGTTAAGTAGAAGTGCATGAGTACATTCTCGAAAGACGAATGTAGCGCGGTGCAGGATCGGAAAAGTGGGAATGAAGCGGACGAAGAACATGTGGAGGCATTCGTCAAGGAAGACCGATGTGATGGATGTAGCCTTAACAGCAGCAGTAACGCTCGATGACTAAAATGTCATCTATTAGTTTCAGAATGTTTTCCTATAGACCCAAATGTCGATAGACGCCATCACAGAGTCCCTTGTCTCGCCAAGGGGGGATAGATTCAACTAACCGAACTAGTCACCATCTCAGTGACATCTCGTACCGCCTGGTGTCCACCCCCAGACGGTATTGTACCAACGGAAGAGCTCCTATCATCAAAGGAACTAGGAGAACCAAGGTTCATTCCATTGATATCCTGCACGACAGGTGGAAAGGGCAATGTCCCAAGAGGCATCTGCCAGTGATCCGTGGTGTCCGAGGACATCAAGCTCTGGAACAGATTCTCTGAATCAGGCCAGACCAACGCAAAGTCCAAGTCTGACGCAACATGGTTCATCCCATGTCCTGAAGTGGCCTCGTCCCACGACTGACTGGTCGCCGAGGTTGACGCTGGATTGGCAGTAGAAGCACTATTCGTATCCCAGGATGCAAGAGAATCTACTGATGGCGGCTGTGGCTGTGCAGACAAGGGCACCGGCGAAGAGCCGTTATTTGCATTCATGGGTCGGGTATGCAACTTCTCATGTCGGGTAAGGGCATCTTGTCGGGCAAAGGGTCTCCGACACTCCTTGCAGACATATGGTTTAGAACCCGTATCTGAATCTCTCGGTCAGCCAGATGGATATTAATATTGGAGCTTGAGCCAGGATCAGGATCTAATTTCAGATACTGGTATCATTAGAACAGATCACATACGGCATCGTTCATGTCTCTGCGGGCATGCGTTAGCTCTGGCATCACTTGACGCAGACAATCCCATCTTGCGTGGGGAAGCCTGAATATTCAACAGTAACTCACCCTCAAGTGTTCAGCCTTTGAAAAGCCCTTTTGACAGACTCGACACACCAGTTTCTTGATACCTGCTGATGCAGACGGTGTCATCTCTATTGACGCCATGTTCTTAGTTGTAAGGAGGAAGCAGGAATTGTGGGGAGACGATTGTGGGGTGTGGCGAATGCTTATGCGAGCACCGGAAATAACATTTGGAGGATTATATGATATACATTGTTGGGATATGCAGTCAGCTTCCACACTGTCTCTTTGCATGAATATAGATAAGATAACTTTGCATATTCAACGATAGAATTTTAGTGGAATAGAAGATCTGCGAAATTTGTTGTCAACAAGCACTGCTGTGAAACGTCCCGTGGATGTGGAAATACACCCGAGTCTGTGTGTATAGCGTTCGCCTCCTTTTTCCAGTTGTCTCCAGGGTTGGAGGAGTAAATGTTGGCCACTAAATGCCGAGGCTAAGCAGCAGATCCTTGCGCCAATGCTAGTGGAGCTTGCATGTCTGTCGGAAATTGTTTACTATATTCAACTTTGCCTACGCTTATTGGAATATAGTTCATAGAGCCAGCCGATGATTTGATCAAAGTTGTCAAGCCTGCCCGGTACTTTAGCAAAACTGTAATGTGTACCACTAGCCCTGTTAGTTTGTTTGGTACACGTATCATGGCCTATATATGGTGTCCCCAGTTCCATACTTCGTCATTCTTTGTCCCCGAAATGACCTCAAGTGTGTTCCTTGGAAAATGAAAAGGCATTGTGGAGCAAACTCATACCTAAACGACTACTGCCTTGTGAATTAACTCCGTAGCTCGGCAAAATATTGCCTTCAGAACCAAAACCAAAGATAGTACAGGGTCAACGGCTGTTGTGCGGCTTGCAGACAGACCCAAGTACCGACGGATAGCGGCTTCCCCAGGAACGGGATAGGTCCCGATGGCAATATTGGGAATCCATCCGCGAACTCATAAACCCCAGTGGGCAAAGCGAGAAAATATGGAGTTCGGTGCCCACGGAGAGATTGCGCCAAGACGTCAAAACTAGTGTTTTTCGGTACTTGGCTCGGGTAGGATGCTATTTTGTATAGTGACAAGTTCTGTCGGCTAGCCGTGCTCAACTGCCATGGTGGGCTTTACTAATCTGTCTGACAAGGCATCGCATTTGGCCGCATTGTGACTCGCCGAGTGCCCAGCCCGTGGAGAGCCTCCGCATTTCTCTCCACGATGCCGGAGCCGGGTCTCCCGAAGACATACCCTGGGGTATTGTCCGTGGATTTAGCGGCTTGGCTGTGCACACTCACCGGGGGGAATTTTTACCAATATGTTCTTCGCCTTTTTGAGAGAGATCCCCGTGTCTGCATCATTCCTCGTGACTTTCAGTTTCATCCCTTATACTTCAGTCTTGGCTTGGTGAATACTTCAACACACCCCCATTGACTATCCTGACGATCTTCGACTCGCCACTTTCCTACCATTGCCATAAATATATGTGTTCCTGGTCGTCGACTGCTTGTCAGATCCCTACTTTGATCAGGGGACGTGATCAACATGAGCTCTTTGGAATTGCAACCGTCCTCGTCTCGTCGAGATGGTCGAGATAAGGTCGAAGACGCTTCTTGCGGCAAAACCGACATTGATCTTGTAGAGAGCGCAGGGCACGACAGGGCAGCGACCTACGGGGAGTCGGTGGCTGCTCGGCTTCCCAAGGCCCATCGTGATTATCTGATGGAACGACATGGGACATTAGATCTCGACCCTATTCCCGGAATGGGCGCAGCTGACCCTTACAACTGGCCTGAGTGGAAGGTAAGTTCCTGATTCCCAGTTACGAGATCTCAGATTCGCCCTGCGAGAGAGCGAGAGAACCAATCCAGCAGAGACTGATGCATCAATATGTAGAAAATGATGAACTTGATCCTTGTGGCATTCCACGCTTGCATG